ACTGCTTTAGACCCCGTGTGATAAGGTCCCTAGAGAGAACAATCCACTAGGCATTTGTAGCTCCTCCAGTGCAATCCTGTGGTCAGTGTCAGGCAGATGTTGACCACAGAGTTGCACTGGAGGATCTAGAGATTCCTAGACGTTCCCTCAGGCAAAAACATTGTGTTTTTGTTATTTGTGTTTTTTTCCACATTCATGGGGGTGCCCTTGTTTTTGCCTTATTTTAAAACTGTTTTAAGTTTGATATTGTTTAATAATTTTTTAAGGGGTGGGAGGGTTGGGGTCTGGGGATGATCTTATTGTATTGTATTTTTATGTTGGAAGCTGCCATGATTGCTATGCAGAGGGGCGGGGTACAAATAAATTGTATATTATTATTATTATTATTATTATTATTTAATTCCCATGATGACCAAATTATACTGTAGATTAGCAATATATTTTCTTTGTCAGCAGCAGTTTCTTGTTTCTTTTCGTACCCGCCAACTATTAAGGCAATGTGAAAGCAAATCCAAGTTTAGTTTGTACGGTGTTTCTAAGTGTTATATCTGTGGTTCCTACCACTTGTGTTATACATACGTATCCCTGTGAATTCTTTTTGGCCTCTTTAAACTTGTCCTAATCATTTGGAGATAGAGCCAGTGTGGTGTAATGGTTTGGACACTGGACTATGACTCTGGAGAGGAGGGTTCAGATCTCTGCTCAGTCATGGAAACTCACTAGAAGACCTTGGGCAAGTCATACTCTCTTAGCCTCTGATGATGGCAATGACAAACCCCCTCTGAAAAAACTTGCCAAGAAAAGCCCATGATAGGTTTGCTTTGAGTTGAAGGCACACAACAACAACAATGGCAACAGCACATTTTGAAGATGTTGTTACTATATATTGTATATCCAATAACTAATTCTTGGGCAATGTCTTACTTTTCCAAATACCGGCTAATCAAGAGATCTTTAACATGGAAGGTAACAATGCAAGCTGATAGTTGACACCCTCTATGTCAACCTCACCTCAGCCTCCAATATGAATTGGCTCTTTCCACTGATGCTTTCTCTTTCTTTTCCCTTTTGGGTGTAAGCCAGGGTGAGTTTATTCTTGTCCAAAGGTTCTCTCTCTTTCCAGGATTTGATTCTGTAGATCTGCAGATTTGTTTATCTAATATTAAAAGCTGTCTAAACATTGGCAGCAATATCTCTTACATTAATTGTTGGGGACAGTACAAGGGTTTGGAATGTTAATATTTTCAAGAAACAAAGCAGTTTCCAGTCCAACTTCAGTGAGGAAACTGAAAATTGTTGGTTTGGTTGGGATTAAAACCTTATAAATGGTAGCTGAGGAAAGGAGCAAGATCTAAGAAAGCTGGCAATCTAAGTATCAAATAATCTAGACAAGGAAGCTAAAGGAAGGGGGCACAGTAGGCAATGAAAAAGAAGTATTTGAAAGGAAAGGATGTGGCAAATGAGGCCTAAAGAAAAGGCCAGAGTTCTGACAAAATCCAAAGTGTGTTTAAGGTCAGGAAGGGCTGTATGTCTGATTAAAGCCAGTTAGATATTGAGTGAGAAAAGTGGCCATATAGCCTGAAACACTGGAATTTAAAGAAGTAGTAATGGGTGATGAAGAAAACTGAGGGATCAGTGCAATGGGATGCTTTCCTTCCCCATCCTTAAGCATATTTTGTTCCCAGGTTTACGTTTCCAGAAATCCTTTGGGAGAGTGTACAATCCCCACTGCTACTACGGTGCATACAGTGGCATCCCTAGGTTTGGTGCCACCTGGTGTGGTATCTCATGGTGTCACACACACCTCATTGACCTCCTCCCATTTCACACCATACAGAAGCCTTAGCCATGGTCTTTGCACTAATGTTACTCATAAATCGTAATTCCCCTATACCACTGAATGTAATGCTAATAATTGTGACATAAACAACTAGCAAAATTAAAATTATACCTTCAAATTACAATATCATGCACACACCGTAAATGTATTTACATATACATAGCGAAGAATTGGTTAAAATATAATGTTTTTAAAGAAAATTTAACAAGAATAAAAGATTTTTAAAATATAAACAATTTTTTTAAAATTAAAAATCCAAAATTTTGAAATTTTAATTTTAAAAAAATCTGGGGCCTCTCTTTTCTCCTCCCACTGAGCTCCACCCCACTCTACCATCTTTTAAAGGGAAGCAGGTGAATGCATCTGCCCATTTCTGCCAAAAGATAGATGTTTGAGGAGCAGTGGTGTCACCAGTCCCTTAGGGTGTCACTTGGTGTGGTCTGAAACCCCTGCATCTCCCCCCCCCCCCCCCGGTGATGCCACTGGGTGCATATACATCATCTTTTTCTCTTGATGACAATTATGATTTGATTTCTCTTGTTTGTTGATTGTGTTGTTATTATTATTATTATTATTATTGGCCAGAATCTTGTATGGCAGTTACAAATGCATAACCTGGAGTTATAAACTTGTGACTGTTATGTATTCACAGTACCTATGTGACCCCTAGTTCAGAGGCTATATGGAAACCATGAAAGTCCTCCAGTCTTCACTTACTGGGAAGCAGCCACTGCAATCAATGGGGAGGTCTGTTCCCCTGTCAGCTGGCTGTCATTCCTATCCACCCTTCACATAAACCATCTTCAGGGTGAAAGGGAATTGTAACAGGGACCTCACTTCTGCCTGTCATAATGGGTACCACTCACGGGAGAAGATGGAAATGGCAGTCAGCTGCTTCCCAAGTGATGGGAACAGACCCCTATTGATCACTGTGGCTTCTGCCTGGTACATGGGGGTTGGGGAGGGTCGAGTTAGAATTCACCACATAGCACCATAACTACAGTGCTTACCAATATGTGAATACCATACAACATTATTATTATTCCCCCCCCCCTTTTCCCAACTATGAATCCTTGAGAAAAACTTGGATATAACATTTTCAAATAAATAAGAAAGACCCAAAAAGGAAATTAAGATTGGGGAAAAGATCACAGAGAGGCAGATGTTCTGTTGGTGATATACATGGGCAAAACTGGGGGTTAAGATTGAATTGTGGGATCTAGCTGAAGGAAGTGTCTTTTGCCTCCTTTAACACCTCCACTACAATGTGCATCAACAGCTGTGGGGCTACCAAAAGCAGATCCATTTCTCCTACCATAAATCAGCTGTAGGGCTGCAGTTGGGTTTTCTTTTCTTTCTTAATAGATTGCCATGATTATATAATTGTGATAAAAATAAAAATAAAAACAGACAGCAAGGCATGCTGGGAAGGGCATAGGCAGGGAGGCAGGGCCACAGAGGCTGCCATGTGAAAGACAGAGGCCAGGACAGAACCAGCACTATGGTGATTTGGAAGAGCTGTGAGATACTGACTGTCCCCAACGTGGGATCTTTGCATTTCCTGGACTAATGTGATTGTGGTGCCTTATGAGTCTAGTGTGATAAAGTCACATTACTATGACTTTACTATGTACTATGACTATTACTGCAGTACTGCAACCTGGCAGCTGAATTTCATGTACTGTAATAACAAGTAACACACTAAATGTGAGGGGTGAAGAACCCTTGGCATTCCTGTAGTTGTTAACACCCATCAGTTCTACCCAGATGTGCATTGGAGTCCAACAATATCTGAAAGACCACAGGTTATCACTCTCCATACAGGTTTCTTCATATGTTTAAACACTCTTAATCCATGTTGATCTTTCCATAATTAGGTGGTTTAGGTGACTCTGTTCATGCTTTCCACTCATGGGGGTGGGGAATGAGTCAGGAAGAAAATTTTGATCAAGTACATTGTGTATGTGTGTGTGTGGGGGGGGGGGAGGACTTTCCTGGGGCATAAAAAAGTTTGTAAATTCATTTTGATGCATTGTTGGGATCTAGAGGTTTTTAAGTATGAACTTATGTTCTAGCATATGGTAAAACTACTTACACAGAGACACTAATTTCTTTAAAAGGCAGAACAGACTATTTACCCACTGGACATTATGTAGCAGTAGGTGTGCAGCCTGTACATCAAACAACATGCCACATTAAACACACTGTGTGCAGCTAAATTCACAATGGGAAAAAAGTGTGCATGACCGTAATCCAGACTGGGAACAGCATGCATGAGTGGGGGAAATTTAAACCTTCCCCTCTTAGTTTTTAAGAAAAAAAAAATATCCCTACACTCACAGAGCTTAAAAACCAAGAAAAAGAAGCCCTATTGGTAGGACAAGCAAATAACTCTTTCTGAAGGAGAGTGGGTCTTATGCATGTTTTCTTGGAAGAATTCTCCACTATGTTCAGTGGGACACAGAAAACAGCTTTGTACTATGTTAGATTACCAATCCGTCTGACCAAATTATGATAATTAGTATTGCAGCCTTAATTTGCATTGCCATTGAACCAACTCTCATTTTTCCTGTTGACTACCAGTTCATTTCTCTTACACATCTTCTGCTCAGTAGCAAGTCCCATTGAAACCTTTGGGGTGCAATTAAAGGGTGTTGCAGACTGCCAGAAATAGTGCACATTGAGTCCACTTTTAGCGTTAGGGTTAGGGTTAGGGAATCATGAGAACTGTAGTTTATTGTGGCACCAGAGCTCTCTGACAGAGAAGGCTCAGTGTCTCAGGGAAAAAAAACAATTCCCAAGCACTAACCCTAACCCTTAAAGTGGACTCAATTTGCACTATTTCTGGCAGTCTGCAACCCCCCTTAGTTTCCCAGGGTGTTAACCCTTTTAAAGGAAAACAAAAATATGCAAATATGAAAGTTACACTTGTTAGACTCCAGCTTTCATTAGCAAAACGACAGAAGTGTTGGCCCAGCTATTTTATTCCAAATATGCTTTCCTAAAGAATAAAGACTAAGTAAAAAAAAATGACAAACATGTAGTTTGTGGTTTAAAAACAAACAATAATGGCTTTAATAAATATTTACATAAAATAACTAAAACCTAATCTAACTGGTGATGGTTTGGGTAAAGATAAATAAATATCACCAGCTTTTAGATAGCAGGAAGATGGGACTACTACAAGCTACTGCTTACTAACTGCTGACTGCAGTTACTGGCAGTTTAGAATCTTGGGAGAGAGCTGTTAAACTGTCTCCAAGAGTGATAGAAAGAATGAGAAAGAGAGAGGGAAGTCCCTATCTATATAAGGAGACACAGGAGAATGGAAATATATTCCAACAAAACCAATAGGGATTATTCTCACAGAAGTAAGTACAGTCGGCCCTCCATATCCATGGATTCTTTATCCACCAATTCAACCATTCATGTCTCTGAAATACTCCCCCCAAAATATAAATTCCAATAAGCAAACCTTGATGTCATCATTTTAAATAAGGAACACCATCTTATTATGCCATTGTATGTAATGGGACTTGAGCATTCACTGATTTTTGTATCTACAGGGGGACTTGGAACCAAACCCCAGTGGATACCAAGGGCCCATTGGATAGAATTGCCATTTGATAGTGAAATAAGGAATTTGAATTTTAAAATAATTCTCTTTATTATTTGGGGAGTGCCTTCAGTTTTTCCAAGAATTAATTGGAGTCTTAGCTGGTCTTTCCCTATCTTTTAGGACAATTATTTTCCCAAAACTGCACTTTATTTTATTTAGAGCAGGTGTGGGCAACACATTAGCCTGGTATGAGACCTTGGAGGGCTGCACCTGCTCCTGAAAAAATAAAATGAAATATCTCCCCATGCCT